AGGAAGCCACCACTCTTCTTCTGAGTTGCACGAAACCACCGTCTCTAGCCAATAGTTAGTAGGGTAGATCTGCGCTCAATTTGGTGGATTGCAGTGATACCTTTCCTGTCTGCAGTCGAGATGTCCACTCTGAAACAAGGTTCCAGAGTGTTTTTGCTTCGCTGTATTCGACATTTGTGAGGTTAATATTCAACCTTGAATTATCCTTCTCTCTTCGCCATGGTGACTCTGCAGTAAAGTTTGAGTGACGATGCATATGGGCGATAACACTCCTGCGTTAATATTCTCTCTTATAAGGTTCTAGAAGTTCTAGCTACTTCCTCGAGACGTTCGAAGTTGTTTTCATTTATGATGGCTTATTAACGCTTGTACGTACATATTAGCTGTTGATTCTCCTCTTACGCTCGTATCATTTCGTTCAGGATTTCCTCTCCTGTATATTCTGCTTCATTCATTCCTTTATCTCAGCGGCCTGGTATACTATCAATCATTCGCTGAGATACCTTTCACTCCGCCTTTAGCATTATCATTTCTTATCCCGATAGATGCGCCACATAGCCACACCATTTGCTCAACGTGGTTGATACAAACAAGCATGCCTTTTTAAATGAGGTTGCTAATCATCGAGTTTGGAGCGTAAATGTTTTACCACTATATTACAGCTCTCTTAGCTGAGTAGTAAAGCTTACCCGCCCAAAGATGATGTGATACGTGACATGCTCGCATTTCACTGGCGCGACTTCATCCCAATCGTCCATTGCTCGCGAGATCGATGTCATTGTCCACGTCTTGTCCAACTGCGATTCTCGTATGGTTGCCGTTTACTTGTTATTGTTCCGGCTTGATGCAGTCAATTAACCAGTTCGCTTGATTCTTGGCTGTCGTCCTTTTTATCGCTTACCATTATTGATTAGAAATTCCTGCATCCTTTCTACTCTTCTCGTTCTGTTTTTGCCACGCGAGCGCAGCTAAGTGAGGCGACCACCGTCCTTTTCGAGCCACGTCCCGTCTTCTATTTTTTTCTTCTTCCATTTCATCTTTCTGATCTCCGCTATAATATCGTTTTCCTACCTCTCTGAGCGCGATGTACATCCAGCAGTATACTCCGCCATATACTGTTCGGATTAGGACTATGCTGTTTTGATGTAGCTCTACTATCTAGCCTCATCCTTCTTTGCCGTCTCACCTCTCGGGCTTCTTGCAGACAACGAAAATCACTATATAAACATCTGGCCAAATATATAATGTCGTGTATAAACAATCCTTGCTACCCGCGGCAGATAACAACAACATTAGCCTTGCTGGTTGATGCGCAAACGCGCCGTCTGCCAAGACTCGTGCGTCACCACATTCCCTATCTCCCCTCAGTTGCCCCGTGCTAGACGAGTGAGTACAAGAATCCCAATACTCTGCTGGCCTGCGTAATCCTACATAACGAATTTGCTATGCCCAATAAAATATTCAACTTATTTAATTAATCTGCCAACCCGTGTCTACATTTCCCCCCTGACCATATCGGACGATGAATCCATCCGTTAACTGCAGACTGCGACTTGTTTAAATTCTAGGACCGGTGGTCATTTATTCCTAGGGACAGGGCATGAGCGCCTAATCGTTCTGCGGCGCCTCTACTTCGGAGTACACGCGGCCAGCGCAATGGAATTTATTGAGACAGGAAGGCCATACGCCTAAAGTTAGGCGTAGGCGCTAACGCTGACGGTGTGGAGCGATATGTTTCTTGGGAAACCGCCAGCTGGGAGGAGACTACCAAAAGGTTTATTGGCTACGCCCTCCCGCTGCGTCGTCCATGACTACCGACGTGTCTCACCGCGCATCCGCTGTGCGCCCGTGACGTCGCCGGTCTATCGAGACACCGTGACCGACAGTGCTGCTCCCGTTCTCCCAGCGTGCCGAGCGATGCGCTGTAGGAGCCAGTCATGCGGCTGCATACTCGCTGAGTCGTGCGCAGCAGCTATCCATCTATTTAAAAAACTTACTAGACTCATTTAAAATAGCGCAGGTCGGATTTAAATCTCCGTTCGCCTGTTACAACATCACAAACAGCTGCCTCCATACACCTAATTCGAGTCGTCGCCTTCGGTGATTCTAGTGCCTCATCAATGATAAGTCAGCGACCACTCTCAAAGTCCTGCCCCACCATCCGTCTATCGATGCGAAAAACTTCCCAACAAAACGACTACCTAAGCATGAAAAAAACATTCATAATACAATTTCATATTAATACAATCAGCTACAAGCACATTTATTCTCCATCGACACACAACTCACGCCATTCCATTCTATCAACATACGTGTACACTCAATTATGCCGTAGGCTAATACATCGTACATAGCGTAGACTGCCATTCCGTGAATGGAAACTGTCTATGCTCTCACCCTTAGCGGCTCAGACTTTACCAAAACCGCCCACCACTACAATCTGCTCAGAAACTTCTCATCTGAACGACACTGTAGAGTCAGCTTCTCTACTGTCTTCAGCTAGAACCCGGCACGCTTCCAAATCCACATTCTTGCCCTCGCCTGGGTTCTCGACTGCGCAGCACCCCACGTACAAACCTTCACTCTTCACGCAGCACTCATCTTCGCATACAGACTTAGCCGCCACTACCAACACCCAGCTCCTCCTCTGATACGCCGCTTGCCATTCGGTCCCCGTGTTTCCTATGGGAAAGCAAACACTTCTCCAACCTCCACGCACATTTTCACGCAATACCTACACGCCGCCTCAAGGCTACGCGCCAATGCCCAAACCTGACTCTTATATATTATGTAATGAAAGCTATTGCTGCTCAACGGCTGCCGGCGTTCTATATTGAGATTTCACACTCACACGTAATACCTACATGTTCTCAGCCCTAGTACGCAATCCTGCACGTACTGCCTACCTGCTTATGCTAATTGCATACTGGCCCGTCAACGCCCCGCATCGAGCGTCTTACGTGCAAGAAACCGGTAACAGAAAAAACAATCAGAATGAATACTGCTCATTGATAAAAGTTAAGGAGAAAAGAAAGATAGAAAAGAGAAATGATAATACTCCCATTAGAACAATCAGTACGTTGGCACGTTCGTGAAATAAGCAAACCACTAATAATATATATTTTACAAAGATGTTATTTTTATTTACATAACATATCCCATTGGCTGCTTTATTAATCTTAATGCTCAAATAAGACGTGATGCGGCGCGGTGGGGCCCAAAGCGGAGCCGCAACCCCTCCTGCCCGCCCTACGCCTTAGACCGTGGCGGAAACCTGATTGCGCAGGCTTCCTGACGCGGGGTACATCAAAGTTATTACAGTCGTCACTGTCGGTCGGTGTTGTTGTAGGCGGTTCCCGCTTGAGGGGTGCCGGCCGCTCTTGTTCGCATCCAGCTACTCGACGGGTCCTGTACTAGCCGTAATACCGGCTACGGCTCCGCTGTCTCGCAGGACGCACCATGACGGCGCGAGCGCCGCACAGTCCCGCGTCCCACCGCCGAAGCCGCAAGTCCACACGGCGCGTCGTTTCCCCTCCCATGCTCGAGAAGCAGTCCCCTCGCAGCCTCTTGGCTGCACAAGGCTGACATGCGAGCGCGTACCTTCTTTTGACCTGCTCTTTCACTGAGTCATGGCTGTTCCATTAGGCGTCGGTGGTTACCTGTAGTCGTAGGATGGGTAGTTTCTTATGTTGATCTGATGTTGGATTAGCAATGTTATTGTTAAAAATTAATCATTCAATTTAAATTCGCAACGAGTGAAATCATTATGTAATGGTGTTTAAGAAACCATCAACGAAACTCGGTTACTTTAGCAAGAGCACACAGCATGCTACGTAATAAGCCAAAGCATTTAACTGAACAGAAAATCTCACAAGATTTTAATATCTTACAATTTAAGATTTAGCTTGTAAGCTTGCAAATATACTCTAAATCAAACCATATCTCATTCCGGTGACAACACATGTGCATATGGTGACACGCAGAGCTACTAGGTCTACTGTAAAAGTAAGGAAAGAATTACGCAGACGACAATCATCGCAACACAAAATTCTACAAAAGTAAGCTACCAAGCGTGACCAGCGATGAATAAATAGAAAAACGCGAGCATACTTCAGCAACTGAACGCAAATCGGCGTCGAAACTCGTTACATGCGTATCGTTATGGGCGTATTCGGTTCCAAGACAGGGCTTGACGAAGGGATAGCGTAATGAGGTTCAGCTTGAATTGTGAGTGGTGAAGTCTGCATGACATGTAACATAGGGGCAGCAGTGGTGGTGTTGGTGGTGACTACAGTGAACGGCTGCAAATGCAGAGGCGTAACTGGGAAGGAATCCTCCTGGCGATGAGGCGTACATCCCTTACAACCAAATCGACGAATGATGAAAATCAATATTAATATTGCCAACAAGCAAAATCCCAGTATCGCATACGTAGTAGTATGATGTATACGTGCTTGAATATTCCCATAAAGGAATTTGTCATCACCTGAAGCCATGGGAAACGGCTAGTTATTTTTAACTGCATCTGCTCATTTAGCAAAGGCAATATCCAAATCATTATGATTATACAAGGCATCCGGAACAATAGCACGCATGCGAGGCATAAGGTCCGACATGTTAGCCGTAGAGTGTCCTGTAATTGTAAAGAAGTGATGCCAAATCTGCGGTAAGTCCGGAAAAGCAAGCGCCTCTACCGATGGCAATGCTACGTCGACATCGGAATGATGGACATAGTAAGGTGCCAAATGAAAATAATCTGAATGTGCCTTACATCCAACCTGCAGTATTATAATCTGTTGATTAATAATCAATCGTTTGTGCGCCGTATCAGGCTGCCTAACACGATCGTAGCAAGATACTGTTACTCGAAAAGGAAATGGCGTAACTAACAACCAATGACCCTCAGCCAAGTAATATGCAGTGGGGACTGGCGAAACTAAAAATGTGATCGTTCGTGTACAATAATGGTTTCAGCGCTGATCCGTCTCTGTCGTTGGGTGTGTATACTTGCATGTTGTGATTTGGTAAGTTGAGGTCCGTTGTTTGGTGTGTATATTTTCCCATGGTGCCTGATAGGTCTTTATAGTAGATCATTGTTGGTGATATGTTGACGTTTATGTTTGTGTTGATTGTCCTGCTACTGTTGTTAGATTGTTTCCGAATCCTACGATGTTGAATGTGGTTGCACTGAAGTGTACAGGTCTGAACGCGTCTTGTAGACCAAGCATTTGTACATCGTCTGCTGTTAGTGTTGACATTGGATTTGTGTATGGTATTTGTTTGCATCCTGCGTCGAGTTGCATGTATGCTGACTGTCCTTTTTGTGGGCTTGTCCACCTGATTAATGATTCCGATTGATTTACTGTTGTTACTGTGTGATGATATGTTCTTTCGAATGTGACTGTTTTGACTTGGTTTTCTGGTACTCGCATTGTCTTTGTCGTGCACCGGTTGTTTTGTTACCATCTGATGGGCCTGTGCCTTTTCTGTCTTTTGGTGGAGGTGCGTCGACCATGTCCTCGTCTTGTTCTGAAATTTCTTGTTGTTCTTGTGGTTCTTGTTTTTGTAGACCCTGTTGTTCTGGTTCGTTCGGTCGTGCGCGTTGTGCTTCGGGTTCTCATACTTCTCTGCTGCTTCTAGAGCCTTGTATTATTTCACGTCCTCTGTTGTATGCTCCTCTGGCTATATTTTGAGCACCTCGTTGTAAATTGTTTCTGAGTTCGTTGTTATACGCTACTGTGCATGCTGTTTCTCGTGCTGCACCGATTAGTGCTACTCCTGCTTCTCCTCGTTGTACTGCTTGAGGTATTCCGAGTTGTGTGTGTGTGTGGATTTATCATACCTCGCGATTGAAAGTTTCGTAGCCAGTTGTAAACATTTCTGTGTGGTGCTTCAGTGTTTCCTCGTCTTAGAAAGTCTCGTGTTTCGTCGTTGAATGATTCACCGTGTTCGTCTGTTTGTTCCCTGAGTCGTTCCCTGAGGTAGTTATGCCAGCCGCGGTTAAACTCTGAACTTCTATTCTGATTACGTCCGCGTGGTAATGTAAATTGTGTGCGGTAGTCGTTGTACCAGTCCAAGTTACGTCTGAATGGAGGCGGAGTCATACTGCGGTATATATAATCAGTAACAAGTGTTTAAATATACGATGTTTGTTTTATTTATCATATTACATTGCCATCTGGCGTTATTTATTTCAATTATTCCAATTGTTGTAGTTAGGCATTGCCTCTTGGTTTGGTGTTGGTTTTTCGTTCTCCTTGTCGCTGTCGTTTTCGTCGTCGTCGCATATCCAGCAGTTATAGCGTCCTTCCATGTGACTTTGTGTACTTCGTCGAAGATATTTTCCCACTGTGTCCAGAATTGACATTGCTTGATCTGGATTGTAGTGGGACGTTTCCTTCAGTCTCCCAGTGTTAGTCGTTCCTTCATCCTGTTTCGGCCGATGGTCCATTTCGTTTTGTTTAAGATGCTTTTGACAGAGTATATCTTCGAATGGTGAGAAGGGCCAATCATCGGTTTCAAATGGATCGTATGCGTCGACTTCTTGGTCTTCATTGGCGCCATATATGTGAGCCAATATGCTGATTGCTCTCGGATCGAATTGCTTATTTACGCCGAACTGTTCGAGCCATTCTGAGTCTGCTGTTTTCTTAGACACTATCTGGATCATTTGAGCGTCGAATGCCAGCTTATCGTCCAATGAGATGGTACTGTCATTCCTGACAATGTTGTTGTTCGAGCAAAGTAGAACTGGCGTTCCTGCTAATAGTTGGTCTCCCATCATTTTCACTTTAATTTTTATTTGCTGACCTTCCAGTATCAACTTGAAGACTTCTTTGGTCTCGATGTTCAAGCTGAACTCGTTTTCGTACAAGATTCTTTTCCCGATACAGCTCATGAATTGAAAGGCCGTGGCGTCCCCAGAATGGAGAACCCCCACGTCCTTGGCTATATCGACTATCTTACTGGAAAAGATTGTTTTTCCGGAGTTGGGGGGACCCTTTATCCACAAGGTGTTCACTTTTCCATTCCGCCGGTTGAACCATTTCTCCAGGTTCACGAGGAAGTCCTTCACTTCTGCGTTGTTGAACCATGCTTCTAGTAAGGTTATTAGCAGATCGGCTGATTTCACGATTGAGTGGTACTTTTCTCTGTCGGCAGTTAGAGGTTTCCACTCTGAAACGAGGTTCCACATCGTTTTGTTCCGGTTGCCGACATTGGTGAGGTTTATGGCACTTTGTATTATTTTCTCTCTCCTCATGGTATTCGTATATAAGTTCTTGAGGGAGATGTCGTACGGTGAGAGCATTTCCTGATTCATGTTCTCTTTATAATGATTGCCGAGGAAGTCTAGTACTTCCTCAAACGTTCCAAAGTTATTTTGATTTATGATCGTAATCAATGCTTGTACCGTGTGTGATGGCGGTGCCGTGTGAGATGGTGGTGAACGCAGGGGTGACCTGGAACGACAGCGCGGAGGTGACAAGGTAAAAGGAGCTGGGTCTCGGGAAGGTCCGGGATTCACGCAGGCTGATGGAGTAGAAGGAAGGGATGATGCTGATGCTGGTGACGATGGTGAAGGTGGTGGTGATGGCTCCTTCTCCACCCACTGCCTGTACCCGTCCTCGGTGAACTCGACGAACAGCCTCGGATAGCTCTGAAAATAAAAAGCTAAATAGTCATCGAAATTATTAAAATCTGTACGAGCACTGTACAGCAGACGAGACGGGAAATGACGGAACGCGTT